ATGTAGCTGAATACCAGGAATACAGATAGTATTTATTAACTAAATAGAAATTAACGCTGATGGGACACAATCATTACTTTAATTCTGATGAATAGATTGAAATGAATTATTGGAGAATAAAACAGAAATTGAGCAAAATATGGTTGGTTGGTGGTTTAAGTGAAGAAGTGGAGATTCCTTCTTTGCACGGATGGATGTATATCTTTCTTAAGTCTATAGTAAGCTCTCATCTCAAATCTTAGTTAATTTATATTGAGAACAAGTGGGTGCGGATTACAATATGAGAATAATATAAGGTCTTTACAAAGCCGATAGTAACTCCACAGCTGAAAGAGAAATTTACATACAAGATTAAATTACATACAGAAGAAATTACACAGAAATTATTTTCCAGATGTACAGCTTTCTCATAGCTGTAAACAAGATTTGTACATGGGATAAAGTCTTTACAAATTAGTTATCGGATGTACGCAAATCTTAACATCAGGCAAAAGCATTTTTAACGACTTGAAGATTAGATAATTGAATCATTTTAGGATAAGAAAACGTTTTATATATTATATATATATATTTTTCCCCGTCTAATATGATAAATCGTTTATCTAGGAAATACTCTGTAGAACATTTATTTTCACGACAGTTGCCGCCACCGTCACAGCTCGCAACTTCATAAGAGCGCGTGATCTTCTCCCCATAACAAGGGAATCACAATATAAATTAATGTACGCAAATCTGATTACTTAAATAATTAATTCTGTAAAGCCTGCAGTATAGTAATAAGTTAGCAATTTGTACTTTCTTACGACCTTTTTTCTTCGCCCATTTCGCATTCTTCTGCACCCATGTCTTTCATCTGTGATCATTTTGCCACCATGCAATTCCTGCTATATTTTTGCTTTCCATATATATTATTTTATTAACGATAAAAATTTATTAATCAGGATTTTTTTTTATACCGAATAAGAAGAAAACGATCTTTCACAATCTCCGAGTCATATCGCTCATTAAGTGTTACAAACTAGCCGATCAACAGCAAAGCTATGTTCAACGACTTCGAGGTTTCGTAAGTTCACAAGTACCACTGAGAGTGTTTTCGTAAAACTCGGTATGGAAAGAAGGAGTGTGCGCCGATTTCCCTCAAATTCAACTAAAGCATGTGATGCTTCCGGCTGATTGGCTGCAAACAGTATATGAGGGAATGATTCAATAATAAATGGGTCTCGATCCATAAATGGAAATCCATCTACAGTATCCGGAATAGTCGGTGCCAAATGTTGCCAATCGAGAATTTTGCTAAGTAATTCAATACCATTTAATCTTTTCGTGAAACGTTTCAGATCGGACAAGCATTCGCCTAAAAAAGTTTGTTCGCATGTTCGGTTGAAACAATGGCCTGTATTATTTTTTATTTCTTTAATCATTTCCAGATGTGAAAGTATGGACACGAACAAAATATCTTCCTATATTTATACATACATTAGTATCTACAGAGAAATGCTGTAGCTATAGAAAAGGTGAACAGATCAAATTTTCGGCGAGAGAAAAGTTAGAAGACCTTATTTTAATTAGCCACTGATAATTTATGATAAAAGCTAAACGTAGTTACAAATTTAAAAACCCATAAATTTATCAATTCTGAGTTGACTCACCGGATGTTCCTACAATATGAACGCCTTCTAAGCTGAACTGATAAGGATTGGTTACCAAATTGAGCATCTTCCCGTGTTTTGAACCCATTACAAATACTGCACGATGAATCGGTTGCTGAGGCATTAGGTAAGTAGATGGGTCACCTAAGCCAGGCATTACATCAACTTCCAGCAAACTCTAAAACATCTTGTAGGTAAAGTTTTCCTTAACTTTGGTTAACTCTTTCTTTGATAAGACTAGTATGGTCATTCATTGGTCAATGTAAATGCATGTATTTCCCAACATTTATTATGACGAATAATTGTCAAGAATGTATTCAACTTACAGATATTTTTGATAAAAATTTATCCATATGTGCTACACATTCAACATTTGGACATTCCTCATTTTTAATTAGATAACGAGCAGCTGTCGTAAATTCCCTTCCCTGGAAACAAAAATCTCGAGGAAAATCTCAGAAAGATAAGCCACACTTGCACTCGAATAAATTACATTTTTTCGAATTAAATGACTGATAATAAATCATCTCAAATGTGCAGCTCACCTGTTCCGTGATAGCAACACTTTCACCGGCTACTACCAATCGTACTACCCTTTCTACAACATCACGTTCCTGAAGGTATTTCATTGATGCAACAAGCTTTTTCTTTCGTTTATTTGGGTAAGAATGACTCCATCCAAAATTATGAGTGGAAATTTTTTCATGTAATCACATAGAAATGTACATTAACAGCATTGAAATGTAAAATAAATAACAGCACTCTTTGTTATAACATATTTATTCCTCATCGAAAAACGAATGATGAACCTTAAACATGTCAAGTTCTATCAATATCTATATAACTGAAAATGATTTCGAAATGTGCAAACCTTTCCGAATAACGGTAACGAGCCACAGAGCCATTTCTGCAACAAATCAAGAGAAAATATCTTTTCAGCATCTTTATCAGCTTGGCCGGTGAATGAAAATCCTGAGACGAATACAACATATCTTAAAAGAAATGAGTGACGAATTTTTTAAGCGGAAATTCCGAATCAATAAATCGCTTTAATGACTGTAAAACAAAACTATCTGCTATAATAGTTGTTTCTTCCAATCTAATCGTGACACGAAACTACCTGTCATCATTCAGAATCGGATATGTCGGTTGTGGTGCTTTGGAAGGCCAAATCACCTCATTAACTTGAAAGATATCATTATCAAATTGCATGCCATATATACCAACCACACATCCTGTAGCAAATTCGTCCATAACAAAATCACCGGAAAGACGTACAATCTGGTCGTCGTCTTCAAATTCCACAAAATCTTCTTCACCTATCAATCTGCTGTCAAGAATTACTTTTACATTAAGCTCAAAAAAATTTCAAGCTCACGTGAAGTCCCTTAAAATCAACTGAACCAAACTAACTCCGAAAACACAAATCAACTTACTTATCTTCGGCAACTGGTTGCGGAAGAATGAGCTGCTCCTCCGCAAGGTCACGAAGGACGCTTGGCCTTAATTTAACACGTTTTGCTATTGTACCAATAACCAAAACCTTAGAATCTTTTCCAGCTTTTGTAAGCCGACATGGTTCAATGTCATCACCTAAAAATTGGTTACCATTACTTTGGTTAATGTTAACCAAAACATGGTTGCCATTTGCCATTCCTTCATCTATTTTACTTAATATAAAATTCGCCAAGTGTAAGTATCCTCCACTATATTCTTATCTCTTCTCTCTCATATCAGTAAAACTATTGGGAAGCTAAATTCAACGGATCTATGATATCCTAAACTGCTTCGTTTATCATCCATGTGCTAACGTGCTAATTTCTCATATTTCTTCAATACCAGTTGAAAAAACAAAGTGCTTCCGGTCCTACTTAATACTACTATTTATCGATGTCACTTAAATTCATTCTACTTCCTCGTCAAATATTAATTAGCAACACTAGTGCTATTGAAACTTATTTGGAATTTTAGCTTTGCTTCATACTTTTCAGTGATATGATACCAAGTAACTGTTTTGCGTTATCGATGATTCGTTTCTGCAACAGTTTAACCCTTGCTCTATACATATGATAATATTGCCGATGAAAACATTCCGCTTCGATGTCTGTCTTCCCAATCAAATATTTATCCGATAAATTTTGATAATGGGCCGAACGACGTCGACGATGACTCATTTCCTGTAGGATATTTTCGAAAGATTTTGAAAAGGATTCAGAAGGACTTGAAAAGTGATAGGAAACTTAAAATCAAAAAAACGTGAAAATATTCAGAAAAACTTGAAAAAAAAATCTTAAAAGAGCCTGAAAAAGCCAAACATACACAACAGCAAACAGCGCCAACAATCAACAACGAGCCCACTGTTATTTAAAATTCCCGCTTCACTGATAATCGTTACCTATCACCAAGATTTTGTTGCAGCTATATATTCCTGTCATCATTTTATCATTCTTATCACTTGGATATCACTTATATGATTATCGTATTACTTCATCTTTTTTTTAGAAATCGACGTTACCTTGGGTACTGTGGGTCTTTTGATTTCCCCTGTTATCTTGTCTGTATTTCTGAGTATTTATTGCTGCATTACCAATATTTCAGGTATCGCTACGAATTCAGGAAGAAAACTTCCGTTTCCGGTATATATGTTATTTATATTTGAGGGCTAAACATCTAACAAGCTGTAGTATTACTCATCAGGCAGTAATTAATACTATTATCGGAGTTTTTTCGTAAAAAATTGCTTCTGAGATTTTTATCTGGAAATTTCAAAAATTGAAAAGCTCAATATTTTCTAAAATGTTAACAATTAACTTTCCCAGATATTGCGTAGTATTGTGACCTATAATTTATTTTATTTTCAATCAGAAAATATTAGTAATTTTTGAAGACCTTACTAATTTCTGGAGGAAAATCTTAACAAAACTAAAAATAAACACCAGTTATGGAATGATCGCATACAGTATCCCAAAATATACATTTCAACTTAATGTATTTGAATTTGAAATCACAATTGGGTAGAACTTTTGAATTTCGTGAAATTATAGCAATCAATATTCTAGAAGTGATAGGTAACATCTAGACTTTGGTAAGTAATACCAGAAAATTAAATTTTTATATCATGAAATCAGATTTTCTTCATGATGTTCTTGGCTCAATAGAAGTTGGCGGTTCATTTGAATTTTTTTGAAGATTAATGGAAACATTCACGGATGGAACTGTTTTGTCGGAAAGAAAAATGTGCGCAATGGCGGATGCCATTCGTCCAATTGCATCGGCGTTCTCATCTGAAAGTTGGTCATCATCATTCACATGATACAAAACAAAGGAATGAAAAATGGTTATGATTCAATTAACTAAATGGATATTCAAAGGAAAGGTAAAAATTGACTACAATAAATTGAAAACAAAATTATTTGCTACATGAAATTGAGGTTTTTTCTTTGCTATATGAAATGGACAGTGTCCATTCTTTTCTGGACAATGTTCACTCCTTTCTTCCAACACATCGTTGTTTATTTCACACACACGCACACAACTACACACACACACACACACACACACACACACACACACATCATTCGTACCAAGACTTTCGGAAAGAATATCAGTTCGGATGATTGTCCGTTCAATCGTTTTCGCACTCGGTCCAGCAAAAACTGTCACCTTATCCTGAAAGCCATTCGAAGAAGTGTCATGATTTGAAATTTAGAGGTAAATTCTTCAATAGTTTCATCACAGAATCAATAATCTTTTGGATAGTTCGAAG